TCATAGTCATCTGTTTTCTGGACAACTCTAAAACCATTCTGGACAATTTAGGGTCATTATGGACAACTCTAGGACCATTTTTGACAATCTAGGGTCATTCTGGACAACTCTAGGACCATTATGGACAATCTAGGGTCATTCTGGACAACTCTAGAACCATTCTGGACAACTCTAGGACCATTCTGGACAACTATAGGACCATTCTTGACAATCTTGGGTCATTCTTGACAATCTAGGGTCATTCCGGACAATCTCGGGTCATTCTGGACAACTCTAGGACCATTCTGGACAATCTAGGGTCATTCTGGACAACTCTAGGACCATTCTGGACAACTATAAGACCATTTTGGACAATGCCACAAAATGCACTTTTAGCAACAAGTAACTCTCACCTTGAGTATTTCATAGTCATCTGTTTTCCACGCAAAGAGTTTCTTACACTGTCTCCACCGACATTGAAACACAGTTGTTCCTTCTTCTGATTCAATATGGTCAATCTGTAGATGGTCCAACAAATGGTCTTTCAACATAAAAGACAGTTCACATGAAGACCACTGAAAATAAACGTTGTAATACACATGGTAAGACTTAAATAAACTGATCAATGTGGTCTTCATACAAGGAATTGAAAGCTGAATAGCAAATGTGAGTAGGTAGTGACCCCTTTGGCGCATTTCATTTGGATGCTGCTACCACACTTTTGACAGAAATTCCTGAAATTTTGCTAATTTTTCTGTGACTAGATATTTAAAATTACAAAGAACAAAATTGGGGTAGCCAAACTAGTTTCTGAATTATAAACCTCAATTGTATGCAAATTTTAAAATCCCAAATGGTGGTAGGGTTTAATGTTATGGGGGAATTCCAAATGGTGGTAGGGTTTAATGTTATGGGGGAATTCCAAATGGTGGTAGGGTTTAATGTTATGGGGGAATTCCAAATGGTGGTAGGGTTTAATGTTATGGGGGAATTCCAAATGGTGGTAGGGTTTAATGTTATGGGGGAATTCCAAATGGTGGTAGGGTTTAATGTTATGGGGGAATTCCAAATGGTGGTAGGGTTTAATGTTATGGGGGAATTCCAAATGGTGGTAGGGTTTAATGTTATGGGGGAATTCCAAATGGTGGTAGGGTTTAATGTTATGGGGGAATTCCAAATGGTGGTAGGGTTTAATGTTATGGGGGAATCCCAAAGTTCAGATACCCTTTTTTTCTTCATGGATAACATTTTTATATCTAGGAAAGTATAGAATAAATATTCTAAAAGTTTGAAAATGGTGCACTTCCGGCCTATTTGTGCTGCCATTTTGTTATTTCACAAATTATGCAAAGTTAGAAAACTCATTCATGATAAAACATCTTCAGAATGTGGTTCAATGATAAGGCAATTGTTTTCTGGCAAAGTACTTAAAATAGTTTTTAGAATATTGTTTTGAGTCATTTTGAGCAGTGGTGCAATCTTGAATTCAGCTCCACTTACATGTTCACTAATAATGAACATTCTCTTGATTTGTAATACTGACATTCTATTCTTTCTGTTCATTCTTTTCTTTTTCAATGCCTGCTATTTACACGCTTTGATGATCAATAGTTCCATTTTTTTAGTACCAGCCTCAGCTTTGCTTGCTAGCATTGCATTACCTGATACTTAGCAAATGTTGCATTATGGTTTAATAAAACATGAATAAAATTTAATTAATTATAAGATATCTAGTCCTTCACAGTACAGAACTCACCTGACATTTGAAGGCTGTGCTAAGTGGCAATGCATAGACAGACCCATCATGACATCCTGCATACAACTAAAACAATTACGAGAGAATACAGATATTACAACATGGTCAATAAAAAAAAATTTCATTTATTTGGCTTGAAGGGTATGGGACTTCAGAGCATTAACAAGTTGCACCATACTGCCCACTCCTAGTTTTGATTGAATTTTTCAGTTCCATGGCTGAACATCCTGAGCACAAGTCAAAAAACGTTTGCATTCAGTCAGTACTATCAGTACAACCTGGAGAGGTCATGTATGAGTGACTAACTTTATCAGAGTATTTATCTGCTGACTGGACAAACATCATGAAATAACATGTACTCACTGGAGTGTGTACGTGGAAGTTATCTGATGTAGTGTGGATTGTACTACTGATTGATGCGAGAATTTCATCTTTTTAAATCAACAAATTAAAACATTCGTCAAAACATATTGCAATACAATGGTAGAAAAGAAAAAAAGGAATGTGAAATATAATTCTGTACATGAGAAAATTGACATGTACAAGACGTGATGGGTGATACCGGGGTAGAAACGGTCACCAATCTAGGATAAAGTTCATATATTAGACATAACACAAACAATGTTATCTAAATACACAATCCCATGATGCAATATATTCATAATTTTATCACGATTTCTGAGTACTGATTGGTGAAAGATGACTTAACATCAAACAAAATTGATTATAAAAGGTGAATTAAACATTCACTAATTCATAGAGTACATCAGACTCGCCCAGAGAAGAAGCACGCTACTATCAAAATGACTACTATACTAGGAAAATGGAAAGGAGAAAGCCAAGAAAACATGGAAGTGTTGCTGAAAGCTATCGGACTCCCTGAAGACAAGATACCAGTTATTGTGAGTGACAAGCAAATTTTCAATATCTCAAAAGATGGGGATTACTTCACCTTTGATGTCACTTCTCAAATTACTGGTAACGCAAAGACCAAGTTCAAAGAAGGAGAACCGTATGAAGCACCCACTCTGACAGGAGGAAATAAGACATTTGTTGCCACGAAAGAAGGAGATAAAGTTCACGTACGTCAACAAGATGGACCACTGGAGCGTATCTACGAGATTGTGGGTGATAAAATGCTGCTAACCATCAAAGCTGGTGACGCATCTGGCAAGATTTACTTCAGCAAAGTGTAAAAGATTGCATATGGTGATGGTAGCACGGTGTGTCCGAGAACTCAAATATCCTCAAAATCAATCAAGAAACAAGTCACCAAGATCAAGTATAAACTCATTTGACTTTTGTTCTGAAATAGGTATTGTATTACAATGTGACTGGGGATGGCTTGAGTGAATAAAGGCTATAGAAACTTAATATATTTTGTCATTTGTTTTTACATCTTGTTCCATCTCAATTATGCTAACAATGGCTTACAGATCTCACATAAATGTTTATTAAATATGTGATAATTCTGCTGTGACAATTGCATTGACAGTGAAATTGTACCCCCAGAAATACAAAGATGTGTGACTTTTTAGGGATTATTCCTATTAAAACACTTTTTTTTTTATCTGACAATGTAAATTCTTTTTAAGGACAAAATCATTTTAATCTATGACCATTGTACATGCATGCATGTTTTTTAGCAGATTCTTTTTTCTCTGTTATTACACTGATTTCTGTCATTGGAGGTATGGTTGTGGGTTCAATATCACTCTCTGTTATTACACTGATTTCTGTCATTGGTGGTATGGTTGTGGGTTCAATATCACTCTCTGTTATTACACTGATTTCTGTCATTGGTGGTATGGTTGTGGGTTCAATATCACTCTCTGTTATTACACTGATTTCTGTCATTGGTGGTATGGTTGTGGGTTCAATATCACTCCCTGTTATTACACTGATTTCTGTCATTGGTGGTATGGTTGTGGGTTCAATATCACTCCCTGTTATTACACTGATTTCTGTCATTGGTGGTATGGTTGTGGGTTCAATATCACTCTCTGTTATTACACTGATTTCTGTCATTGGTGGTATGGTTGTGGGTTCAATATCACTCTCTGTTATTACACTGATTTCTGTCATTGGTGGTATGGTTGTGGGTTCAATATCACTCTCTGCTACATGCGTCATTTTACACCCCAATCCAAGAGATTACATGGTTGTTTTTTTCAAATACGCTTTATTACTCATAGTTTTGTCTTTTATTTATATATATATTTTATATAAAAACATTTTCTCAGGCCAAAATTCAACAAATTTTATAAATAGTCATTGAAACACTGCCAAACTGAAATAAGAAGACCTGCTCTTGAACATAGAAGTGTGAATGAGCCATCTGTACTAGCACTTTCTATCTATAATACATATATTATAGGCTCTGCAATTCTCCAAAAATAGAGCTTCAATTGTAGGCAAGGATTAGTAGGGTGAGTTGAAATGAACACAGTGTGTTTATCCATACTTAGTGGTAAATACAGTATATGTAGCCCATCATATGATATAGCAGGATTATTATTGGGAAGCTCTTCCAATCTTCAGTGTAGACAATAAATTGGCTAACTACTGAGAACTCTTATTTCTTTTAGTGAATGCCAACCCCCCCCCACACTCACAAATTAAAAAACCCTAAATACATAGCAATGCTAGTTGGGAAATACTGGGATTTAAGAAAAATACATATTTTTATCACCAGAAATCCATCCTACAAGTCACACTATTGGGAAAGAATCAATTTCCACAGCCACAAGTTATTCTGTCAACAAAACCTTGAAATGGTTGTACTGAGCATGGTTAGACATGTCAATGATGAATAAACCAAACAGTTAAATAGAGGTCAGAGGTCAGGACTTAATCATCATTAGCATTGTCACCACCTGATCTTATTAGCTGAACTTTGGTGTGGCGGTACTGAGCATGGTCAGACATGTCAATGATGAATAAACCAAACAGTTAGATAGAGGTCAGAGGTCAGGACTTAATCATCATTAGCATTGTCACCACCTGATCTTATTAGCTGAACTTTGGTGTGGCGGTACTGAGCATGGTCAGACATGTCAATGATAAAACAAAATGATTAGTTTATTTATTTTGCATCTTTATAAAATATTAACTTTAGATGAGTCATTTTACACAAGCCTGAACGCAGAGTACT